TGAAACATCTTTATTGTTGGCCTCCAGGGTGAAGTCTTCTAAGGGCACATACTAGAGGGAAGAAAGGTTTTTAGCAGCAGCCTTTGGTTATTGTTAAAAAAATAAATAAAAATCAGTGGCCTTGTTTTTTCTGAATGGCTATGCATCTTGTGAATTAAACTGTGAAAAAAGAAGGCGAGGCTATCTGCAGCCAGGGCTCCCCAGTGACTTCAGTCTGCCCTGGGTGAGACTCTAGGTGAGGGGCAGCTAGCTTTCCTGACCTTGCAAGCTGCCTGCCAAAGCCGAGATGTTGCCAGATGCCTCAGGCTACAAATTGCACACCTCAGAGCCCATGTTCCAGGAATGGCTTGCAGGTGGTGCTGCCAGCAGCTCCACAGGGGCTTCGTTGCTCCATCCGTTATGGAAAGGAACTAAGCTGTGTCCCAGGATGACCTAGTGGCGTTGGCTTAAGTAGCTCTTGCTGTCTTGCCACCTTTCACAGGCTCAGGTTACCCCTGTGCCAGTCTAGCCCTGCTGCCAGATGCCTCAGTGTAGCCCTGGCACATGAAGTACACTGCTCATGGGCCATATGAGGCTCCCCTTAGTTGTGCCCGTTCCTTTGCCTTCCTTGAAGGCAAATATCCAAAATGTGCAATGATGAATATTGGCTTCTATCAGAACAAGTTAGAAGGTGCTTTGTGGCTCTGATTGCTGCTGTTTTCAGGTGCTGTAAAGGGGCCGAAGGTGGGTACTTGGCTGTTCCTGGAAAGCAGTCAGCTTCTGTGTTCCTGGAGTCAGATATCTGAAAAATGGCAAATGCCAAATCTGTAATTATTTCTGTATATATCACTCTCTGGTTTTATAGCTGATGCTTTACCCATGTGCTTTTGGTCACTAGTGCTTTTGTTCACCAACTTAACATCCTGCTCATATATGTGATATGGTTTGTTGACATAGGATAAAATAACAAAGCGAACCTGTTGAAGTGTTAGAAACAACATTGCTGCGATACTGTGAGACTTGGCACATGTGTTTTAGCAACCCGCGTAGCTGTGCTTATAGCTTCAGGATTTAGGGATATGCTTTGTGTCTAAATGAGCAAGTGTATTCTCTTTCTGCTAGTGGAAACTAGTTAGAACATCGAGATCTGCTAAATTTGATCTTCCATCTTTTCTTCGTATGTCTACAAGATCTGCTGGTTTAAAAAGGCTTGTATGTAAATTTTGCTTTTGGTTTTCTTTGGCCACTTCTGTCTAGCTCTCTCCTGATTTCAAATGCGATGAAGGGGATAGTTGATTTATTGATATTTATTTCATTAGCCTGAAGTATTTTAAGCTAATGGAATTAGACCAGATTGATTAAGGGTACGTGTGGTAAGCATAGCACTTGAAAGCCAATCAGCTATTCCCTCTTGAGAAGTGTTCTTACAGAGGGACTTGAAATTCAGATTGATCCCAAGTTTTCAGTGTCAGGATTATTTAAGTATTTAGCTCTGCCTTATTGCTAACTTTAGGCTGGAGGGTATGATCTATCTTCAAGTTAAGTGAAACTTTCTTTTGCAAGGAATTCTGCTGAAAGAAGTGAAATCAAAGGGAGCCAGGGCTTGCTGTGGCCTATGGTGTATCACCCAAGGAAGAATGATCCCATCTTTCCCCATTTCACCAACTGTTTGCTTTACTGTGGCTCCTTTTCCTGGGGTCATCTCCTGCAGGGATTATCTTGGATCTGAATTTATGCAAATATAAGGGCACTGAACAGTGTCTTATATTGTCCAGAATTGTGATCATGAAATAAAAATGCTGGTTTTGCTCACAGGTTAGAACTAAGGTCAAATGTGAATTTCCTGGCCTTTGTGAATTTTAAAAATCAAATTTACTTTTGCATTAACATCACATCTTAAAATCAAATTTCCTTGTTTGCTTTTAAGATAAGGAGAAATTCAGGAACAGGATTTTCTTTTACTAAGAAAACGTGGTGAGGCCAATTTTTATTAGATTTAACTAAAATAAGCAAACGAACAAACTGGCCACACTCAGTTGTAAATCAATGAACAATTTCAGTCAGGAATATATATATATATATATTTTATCTTACAAAACAAAATGTCTTATCTTTATTTCTGTGCAGAGGTTTTGGTAATATTAACGTTATTGCTCAACTTTTTCTAGAAATTATCACTGGCAGCAAGAGTTACATAAAGGTTTATCAACCTGGCCAGTAACTCCAGATAGGCTTTCATTCCCAGGAAATCTTAGGAAAAAACACCACCCTAGGACCTAGGGGCTGAAAATGAGACTATTGCATAGATACATGGTTTCTTTTTAATAAGTCTAGTTAAAATTTGCTTCTTCTAGAAGTAAATATTCTCTGTGTTATGAGGTAAGATTGAACGAGGCATCTTTCACTACTCTATTGTGTGCTCATGATGCTTGAATTGGTGATATTGCCAAGAGTCATAAATGAATCTACAAATCCAAGCCTTTGCATGGTTCCAGACACGTTTTTGAGCATATCAGCAAAGAACTGGGGAAGGGCTGGGGCTGGGAGGGTAAAGCTGCTGTAGTAAATGTTTTTCAGTTGTGGCTTACATGGGATTTGCTAATGTTCTGCGAAGAGCTGGTTTGTCCAGCTTTACAGATAAAACATGCGATTTGCTTATCACAAAAAAAAAGCATGAAGGAGGTCGACAAAGTTTTTTTTTTTTTTTTTTCTGTGCAGTTCCTGTACCTGTCAAAAGGATTTTATGAGATGGAGCATGAGGAGGATATGTGGTTTCCTTAACTGTGACTTGAAGGAGCCAGATTTGTAAGACAACTTTGACAGCACCTTTGTTGCTATAAAGGAACATTTGGGAAATCCTGTTTTGCGTGTTTGAGTGTGGCAATCGTCCTGGTGCTCTTCCTCATCGCAAACTACAATAACCCCGGCTAGGATCAGAGCACGTATTACCCCATTTATAACCAAGGTGTTGAAACCCTCTCTGCAACAGTTTCTCTAACCTGGTAGCGAGGGGCGTTTTCGCTGACTCAGCAGCATTACTGGCTCCCCGACAGCGCTGCATGCAGCGTGCACATGCTGTGCCTGAAGCTACAGTAGGGGTCTCCGCTTGTCGCTTGGTGGGCAGAAAAAGGGCACAAGAGCAGGAGAGTGAAGCGTGAACAATGTTAAGTGTAAGGGATGAGATTCCTATTTATCTTCTGCGCTGCTGCTGGATGGCTTGTGCAGAGTAACCTGAACTTTGTTGCCCTGCTCTCGCTGCTGATTACATGACAGTGTTTCCTTTACTTTGCCATTAGTTAATTCTACCTCAGACTGCCTGTTAATGAAATTGCCACACCTGCTTCCACTTTCCATGTCATGGACAGTTGGTGGTTTTACAAAATGTTTTCTGTTGGTCAAGCTGCTCTGCCTGCCTGGAAATGTTTTGCCTGCTCAAATTTTTTAGGCTCATACCTCAAGGACTTGTTACTAGGTAACAGAGTTCCATTTGCCAATTGCCCACTATTTCCTTCTCACAGTATTACTGGCCTGATTATTAACATTTACTTCAGAGAAATTGCTGTCATTATGTGAAGTAACTTCCTTTAGAGGTTACTCATTAACCTTAGGTATTTTACTGTGCGATTATAATTGCCAAATGCCATAGGCATGGAAAACCTTTGAACTCCTCAAGGTATTAGTGTATGGGAGAAATGGTATCAGCTGTGATTTTTATATGTTCTCCACATCCCCCACCCAACCCCAGTTATTTTTCCTTTTGACTGTATTCTTGTTCCGTTCCTCTTGGCATGCTTCATAGCATGCAGAGCCTGCTCAGCTGCTGGGGAAGAGAATATTTCCTTCTGAAAGGGAATCAGTCTCTCCTGTTCCCCTTTATAGATCTGAGATTAGCCCTAGCAAGCTCAGTGGTGTTACAGTGCTCATTATCTGCTTACCCGTGCAACTAAGAACAGAATTTGATCTCTTGACCTTGCATGAAAAGTGACATAATTGGGAAGCCAACAGTCTTGTCTGGCATGGTCTATGCTGTTACCATGTGAAGTTTTCCAGCATTTAGGATGGCTCTTCTATATTTGCTTTGGGGAGATTCTCAATCAACTCTACTGCTATATATTATGCTCAAGGAATGGAAATTTCAGACAAAACCACCATTCTCTTTTTTCTCGTGTTTTTTTTTTTTTTTTTTTTTTTTTTTCTCCTTTCATTGTTCATACAAGCAGAATCAGCTGTATACTAAAGTGTTTGTCTCGGGACAGCGTGTGCTCTCTAGAAAAATCTTACTAAACATCTTTGTCTTTCTGCCCTAACCCACTCCTTAGAAGTGCATTGACATTCCTGGTAACTTGATTCCTCTGACAGGATAAAGCAAGGCTGCTGTAGCTATACTGTAGGCCTGAGTTGCCATGTGACTTCAATAAGGAAATATATATCATATTCAGGAAATTAGGGGACAAGTGAGATATATACACAGTGCTTAAACAGAACTAAAAAAAATAGAAAAATCACACAGGCAATAGGCAGATTTTTACATGGAGTCAGACCTAGTTCTGATGGCAGGAAACAAAATGTTGTGGTGGGTAAGAAAACCTTAGTCCGGTAATCTTCTAAAATACAATGACAGAATAACCAGTGCTATAAATAAAAAGCGGGGGCAAGCTAAGGTGGTATTAACAAATGAGTCTTCCCAAGTCTGAGCTGGGCATGGGGGAGAATATAACAAGAAGGTCATGACAGAGTAACTTCTATCAAGTCCTTAATTTAATATTGCTTACCCACTCTGCTCTGTCCTTTTAATTAATCTTGGCATGACTATTTTTTTTTTTTTTTTAAAGGGGGAGAAAAAATCTCAAAGCCAGTTATGTGCTTGCATAGTAAATCTCTATGAAGAAAGTGCCAAGTCAGTACCCCAATATCGTTATTAGTAAAAATGTTTATTTAATAATACAGTTTCTGATAGTAACTTAACTATTCTATATTTTTTTTAATGGTAATTTATTTCTTCTTTCATCCTCTAGAACAAATCTTGCTCCCAGTTTCAGAGGATTTTCTTATTTGATGATGTGTCAGCTGTAACTTCTCAACTACTATGTGTTGAAATGAGCTAACCGGTGGAATTTGTGTTGACATCTAATATTACTCCCTGGGATAAATTCAGTGATCCATGAAGTCCAAGCAGTGCAGAAGGTGGGTAACAATTTAAAACTTTTTTTAGTAAAACTGTGCTTCACTGAATTCCTGTTTACACCTTCTACTTAACCTGCTCACCTGCAGCTCCAGGTCTGATTCATGAGATGCATAATTCAGTACTGTAGGAATAGCTCAGTTTTCAGTTTTTGCTCTATAAGTTTATTGTCAATAAATCCACGTAATTTACTGCAAACTTATTTAAAACAAGCAACCCTCAAACTAGCATTAACTCTTTAGAGTTTGAAATATAACTTTCTGGTGTGTAATGTCAAAATTATTAGCAAAACTTTATGCATCAGGCATCACTCAGTGAACTGAAAAGCTTATTAGATGCCATAATCACATACTGTATTAAAGTCTTTTGGATTGCACACAGGTACAAAAGCATGCTCCACATCACAGTTCCTCATTGTAAGCGAAGCAAATGTATGTTGAAGAATCAGGGAAACAGGGTGCTAGCATGGCTAACACCTGAGACCAGGCATGTTACTGCCAGCTGTGGCAAGTTTCTTGCATTCAAGACCAGTAAATGCCTCAAACAGTTTATTTATTTATTTATGGAATGTCTAAACTTTTCTGTCCTCTACTGTACAGGCGTTGCAAAATATTTAGCCTTATTTTGATATATGACATTGTTTTGTTTGAGCCGGTGTAATGGAATAACATTTAGTGTCATAGACTAGAGATCTAATGTTTTTTCTACAGAAACATCTGTGGTAGTTCAAATGTTAAATTTTTTCCATGTGTTGAGTTTGCAAGTGCAGAAGAAACAGACTTATTTTTAGACCAAAATTAGACTACATGTTAATACACAGTACTTTCTCCCACTGAAGTCATGGCAAATTTGTGTTAAACAATGACTTATTAGGTTTGCATAGAAAGCAGTGCAATGGGGTAAATCTCTCTCGCCTCAACCTGCATTGTAAGTTCACTTAAGAAAAAAACCAAAACGAAAACAGGTTTAGAGTACAGCATAAATGGTACTGTCCTTATGACATACAATAATAGGTTGATGTTGTCATAAACACTCATTATGTTCATAAGGTCTGGATATGTACCTTTGGAAGTCTCACTGGAAGCGGATTTGTGGCTCTGAAACATCTGTGAGGTTCAGTGGATTATTTGCTTATACAAGTTTATTTCTCTTTGAAATAAATCTTCTAATCTTACAAAAACCTGGACGAAACATTATTGATTGGCCAATTGGAAGGTTATGTTGAAACTTTCTGGAAAAAAATATTTTTAAGATGCTTGGTAAAATATTTAGTGGGTTTTTTTTCTTTTTTTAATTATTCCTCTTCACTAGTCCTGATGTCGTCAGATTTTTATTTTTTTTTTCCTTTCATCAGTAAGGGAAAATGGAACCTGTGCTCAGCAGCTATAGACAGGACTGCTGGTGTATTGCTTACTAGGCTGGTATATATAGGAGGAGTGATTAGATGTAAGTTCAGGACGATCATGGGAAGGAGTATGTACAGATACACTTAAGGCAGAAACTGCTGTCAATTACAAGGAGGGGGCAAAAAGACCAAGGTAGACATGTAAATGGAGAAACTGAGTACCTTGCAAATGTGATCCTGGCTAGGATCCTTTTCTTGCCCCCCCTTTCCCTGCGAACCCCCCCATTTCTTTTGAATCTCTGAAAGTAGAGCAGCGTTGGTTGGTTAGTTTTTTTTGCTTTTTCCTGGAGAGGACAGAGTAAGATGAAATCTTGATCTCTTTTAAAAACAAAACAAAAAATAAAACAGACAAAAAGGCAATAAACTGATTACACATTATGATTTGTAGGGCTAAGAAACATGGTGAGGTACACCAGGTGAGCAATAACATCTGACTTGCTGCATTGTGACTACAATGTTTGATTTTTCTCGTTGCCTTTTTTTTTTTTCCCCTTCAAATCCAAAGCTGGGATTTGTTGTTTCTGATTAAATATGCAGTGAGCTGTATGCCTTTAGGAAACTGCAAAATACTCTCCCCACACCCCTGTTCCTGGTGCTCTCTGTTGCCCAATGTGGAAACTGTGGCTCTTTGGGGATTTACCATTTCCTCCTAGGATCACCTGTGCTATGGCTTAAATAAAAGTTTGTTTCTTCAGCTGTCTGGCTTTCGAGTTTATCTGACTCAGGTTGACCCCTTAGTTTTATAATGAGCTAGTTTATTTGCTTGTGCAAATTGGGTTTTCTTAGACAGAAATATAACAGACTATAAAGAGGCCAATCTTTTGATCATTTCACCTCCGGAAAGGGGAAATCTACAATGCCTTTCTGCACTCACTGGGCACTCTCTGGGTTGTTAATAACATTAAGTTACCGTTCCTGAACACTTTGTTTTAGGATTTTTTTTTTTTAATACCATGTTGTAGAAGTCTGGTGTGTAGAAAAAGATGTTGTTTCTTCCGTCAATGCTAGAAATATTGATAAGGTTTAGAGGCTAATTGCTTTTCTATTCGCAGGAAATGCAGAGCCTTTTTTTAGCAACCAGTCTGGTTGTTTCTAATTCTTCTTTAAATATATCTTTGTTACACATATAGTCATGCATACAGGGAAGCATGAGGCAGAATGCTGGAAAAAAAGGAGGAGTAAACAGTTTGTGAAAATGGTGCCAGTTTTTCCTCGATGGGCCTCGAACCTCTAATATAGCCCAACAAAGCCGGGAGTGATGTGCCAAAATACCTTTTTAATAAACAACATAGGCAGTAGGAAATAATACTGGTCAGGGCTTGTTTTTCTGGCTCAGGGCCTCATTCCAACCTGTTGCAACCAGCTATTGAACGTCTATGGGGACACCCCTATACAAGAGGCCCCATGGAGGAAAGGAACTTTTACATTTCTGTTTGACTGGGATCCTTGCCAGTGGCTAAGTTCAAAGTGCAGTTTCCAGTAATTTGCTGTTACTACTCTGCATGTTTGATAGGCCAGGACAGAAGCATGCAACCTGAAGTAATATTTCCTGATTTCTGACATTTCTCAAGATATGAATGGAGGTTGCTGAGGCACTAAAACTTGGAAGGGTTTTCCTGACTCCAACACCTTTGATGCTTTCCTTTTCTCCTCTTGTGCAGCCCCCTTCCCTCCCCCCGTCTCCTTCCTTAGATCACATCCCCTGCTGTTGTCAGTTCCGTATTTGGATGACATTCATATTGATCGTTTCCCTATGCAAACACTGTGCGGCTGTTCTTATGCAACCAGAAAAATCCTATTGATTTACTGAGTGTGAGGGTTATTTAGATTGATATCCTTCTGTAGTAGTGATAATGCTTTCATCTCCCCTTAGAGTTACGGTGGACCTTTTCGGTTTTTTGGGGAGGGGGATGCAAATGAATTTCTTTAGCTCTGTTAACTGTGTCAAGAAGGAGGTAAGCACAGGGAGAAGCTAGCAGAATAGCTACTGTTCTCTCTAATGTTTGCAGTTGTAGGCCATGTGTATGCCATTGTGGTTATGGAAGAAGCATCCTCTATAGTTAAGATTATATAAGCATTCCTATTGTAATCCTTTGTTTTCAGCTTTCCAAAACTTGCCTCTTTTGGGCTGATATTTTCCTGGCTTGTTCTCTGCCATGTCACAATTTATTTATTTATTTTCCAAGCAGGAATACAAATGTTGGAGAGAGTTTTGATGTTTTTGAAATATAGATACATAGTCAAAATGAGCTTCAGATAGAAAGTTGCCTGGATGTCACTGTCAAACAGGGGAATAGGCTTTTGGTGAACACTTTTTATTACTGAATAATCTACATTTTTGCAAAAAGTAAGGCAAATGTGCTGTGTAAGGGCAGAGCTGAGGTTGTGTGGGAAGCCTTAAGTGCCTTAAATCCCAACTGTATTTTTTTACAGCCTAAGTATGCAGACTTCCTAGATACACAGGGGGGTGTGGGTATTAGTACAGCTACCTACTAAAGCAGAGCAGTAGGATATTTAAAGGTGCGGTACTCAGTTCTAACTGCACCTCTACAGGAAAGTAAATGCTTGCATAAACAAAAGCTAAGTACTGAAACTGTGCGCTGATTTTGCACTGGAGCTTCACTTTTGGGCTGAAACTGTCATCTCACCTCTGTTTTGAAAACCAAATAAAATTCCTTTGACTAGTATGTAGCTAAAGCTTTCAAATAAATAAGCAAGCAAATACCTTTTCTTCCAGAGCGTGCTGACAGGTGTTCACACAATCCAAGCACTCATGAGGTTTTAATCATTAAACTAAACAGTTCCTTGAAAGCAGAGGAATTTGGAGTTAATTTTGATCTTTGTCCTTGTGTTGATCACTTCATATCCACTACGGTGTGTCCACTGTGGTGACATACATCGAAATGCCTAAAGAGCAAGCTGAAGGAAACGGAACATATTTTTGAGCTGAATGTTTCAAATACCATAATTGGTATTGCATTATTCATGATTAGTGTCCTTTTTCCGATGTTTAGTCAAAAAATCTCTAGGGGGGCAGTGGGAGTAGCAAATTGAGTAGCAAATAATCACAAGATGATCTACAGTGGCAATTAATTTGCCCATGAGCGTAGTACATCACTGGTACCAGGGTGTTTGTCATGTGGCAGGCAGCTGTGTTCCACTGCCGGATGCTCAGCCTCCTCTTTAACCAGCTGCAGTGTATTGGCCTCCCTCTGTTTTGATTTTAGGCTAGAAGGATATGAGTGGAGTGGAAGGGAGAAAGCTGCAACCTGCTCTGTGATTTTTTTTTTTTTTTTTTTTTAAATTGTGTACAAGAATAATTCAGCAAAGGCTGGCTGCACAAATTTCTTAAAACCACAATCTCCTGTGGGTAACAAAGCCTCTGGCTGTGTTACAAGCACTGTGAAGTGATTGAAGAATGTGGAGTTGCATCATGAGACCAAACAGCAGGTAAACAAAAGGAGCATGCCACGTTCAAATGAAATAACTCCTCATAAACCTGGAGGATTGCAGTGAACTTTGTGCAGCTGTGTTGCTAAGTAGCTTCCTGGCCAGGAAAAGAACCAAAGATGTTACATTGAATACCTTTCAGTGTAA